GATCAGTTTTTGCCGTAGAACGTTTTCCTTTTTATTTTTTATAACGAGTATAAAATTTTTCTAAACATAAGTATAGCGACCTGAGGAACGTATTAAATGTAATTGTTATAAAATAGATTTCTTTAAATTTAAAAATGCCAAAAGTGAGTGCAAATTTTGCAAAACACTTGTATAACTGGACATATATTTCTATAACCAACGGCTTCAAAAATAAAGGCATGGTAAGAACTTTTGTGGTCACTGTGTATATTTAAATTATAATATATCTGTTTTATAAATTTTACGAAAATTTGCATTAATATTTTAACTTATGAAACCCGTTTCTGACGCCATAAATATATATCAGATACAAAACAATTTTTTTATAAGAGATCTTTCTGTATCTTGGAGGAATCTAACACAATTCTGACTTATCTTGAGACAAAATCTACTATTATTTTTAGCTTCTCAAGAAGAAGCATATATTGCAACGAACTCTCGACTTTAAACACTCATGCTGCTTGACTTTAAAATTAGGGGGAAAGGCCAACTTAAACGTAAGTTTTATACAGAATTCTATCGATTTTTAGGTAGACCATCTACTAAAAACAGACCTTCGGGTGCTACAAAAGAGGATTATAGAAGATAATTGATGGCCTAGTGCCGAAATTCAACTAAGAATATTCTCACTAGAGTGACCATATTCAGGACTTTCGTGCAAGATCTAGTATTTTTATAACTTTTTATGTTCTAATATATTTACTATCATATCTAGTATCTAGTTTATTTTTTTAATCAATAATAAGGCTATTCGCATGTTTTTTTGACGATTTTCATTGTATTTACAGAAATATTTTACCTAAACATTTTGTGTTTTAAATGTTCCATTTGATAACTCTTATTCTTCATTATCTTTCTGTACCGTAATTTCCAAGACAATAAAGCCTTTTTTAGTATCGGATGAGCTATCTATTTTATCCCATTCCTCTTGAACAGGGGCCCACCAGCGACCGAGCGATAAAGTCGCTGAACACTGGTAGTTCGGTCCGAGGTTCGAATCCCGCGAACGGGCTGGCTGCATGGGCGTTTTCGTGGTTTTCCCCATGTGTAACGCGTATACGAGCCAGTTTCCCTTAGAAAGTCCTCCACGAAAGGCATCCCTCCCCTTAGGCAGATAGCCCTCGTGTGCTTTTGCCATAATTAAATACACCAACACCAACACCTCTTGAACAGCTTTCCAAAGTCCAAGGAAAGTAGGTCTAGACAATTCGCGTTTTAAAAGCCCAAAGTGCAAAAATCTGTAGATGATTCTTTGAACCATGTTTTAATTTTTTTCTTCTCTTTGATGGTAATAAATGGATTTAATTTTATTGCGGTCATTTAAATATTTCATCTATCGTGACAATATGTTTTCATTTTTGTCCGAATAATTTTTCCGCATGGAGAATTGTGCAGCGTGTTCTGCTTATGATATGTCGTGGAGATCTACGATGCACATTACGTTTTTTCGCCTTTTAAGATTCAAATCTGCATTAGCCACTTTGTTTATAGTTGTTAGCACTGAGTATTTTAATGATTATGAAACTGTCCTTTGACTTCGAATTTTTTCTTTTATCATTTAAGTTCTTACCTTTGCAACATTCGAAACATTCCATTTTGCCTTTTGTTTTGGATTTTAAACAATTTTTCTCCTTGAAGCCAAACTGACTATTTTCCCCCTTTCTTATTGACAATATTATCTATCGTTGCTTTAGATACCGAAAAATGATAGCTTACATCATAAAAGCTTTTAGAATCATCATAAAGGATATTTTGAAACATATTTGGAATCATCATCACTTACATCGTAAAGGCATTTGGAGTGACAAAAGAATAAACCCGCAACATTATTCTAACTTCTGAAGAAGCTGTCGCTGAAATAAGGCGCTAAAAGGAACTAATTAACGTTCTTGCAAACGATATGAACATTTATTTTGAGATCTGTGTATGTTTCAGAGTTCTTTTACATCAAGTACAGAGGATATTAACACAATTTTAGAATTATTTCGAGACTGTTTAATTAAACTTTAAATTATAAATACTTATTATTTAAATGTTTGATCTTAACCTTTCCCAGTATTATAATTTCTCTTCGTGTGTTGCATGATCGAAAAGCTTTTTTTAAAAAAAACTTTTCAAAGATCTTGCTTTCTATTCCTCTTTAACTATGTTCCAGACCCCATCCCTTGTCATTAAGTGTCCTCTAACAAACAAAGTTTTGCAAAAGATGAAAAGCAAAACAGTCCGTAAATGAAAATGTAATTGGACTTCGATGAAATATGTTAAAACGTTATTCATGCAATATATTGAGCAGTCTTAACATTTACAAGTAGTGCAGCAGTAGCTTACGAATTTTAATCGGCTGCTTTGCTTTGATGCAATGTTTTCTTAGCTCCGATATCTTGGCGGCTTTCTTGTGGTGCAATGTTTTCGTAGCTGCTTTATCTTGGCAGCTTTGTTATGGTGCAATGTTTTCTTACTGCTATATCTTGACGGTTTTGTTGTGGTGCAATGTTTTCTTAGCTACGATATCTTGGTGTCTTTGCTCTAGTGCGATGTGTTCTTAGCTGCTACATCTTGACTGCTTTGTTATGGTGCAATGTATTTTTTAAATTTACTGTATGTTGGTGACTTTGTTATGGTGTAATGTTTTCTTATCTGCTATATCTTGACTGCTTTGTTATGGTGCAATGTTTTTTTTATATCTGCTGTATGTTGGTGACTTTGTTATGGTGTAATGTTTTCTTATCTGCTATATCTTGGCGGCTTTCTTACGGTGCAATATTTTCTTAGCTGCTTTATCATGGCGGCTTTGTTATGTCTCAGTAAATTGCAATAATCCATTTTCCTTTTCTTTACAGTGCTCGTGTATATTTCTACCCTATTTTGTTATAAGTTTATCACAAAACCGATAAACCTACTCGTCACATCCTATACAGCAAATCTTCAAGATGTCAAGTCATATGTAAGTCAAAGAGTAGTCAATTGCTTAAATAATATAGAGAAGTTAAGATCAAATAACCTTAACAATAACCTTATTTTGGCGCATATTTTGAATAAAACAATATCTATTTTGAAAGCGATCAGACACACGGTCCTCTGCCTCTTCATTTGAAGAAAAAAAAAAAAAAAAAAAACTTTCCTCCATTCCCTTTTTTCACTCAGGGCGCCAGATATACGAGATCAAATGTTTAAGTAAATGGAGCGGCTCACTGAATGTGGAATGTGGTCAGTCATCCGTTTCATAACAGCAAAAAAACATAAAAGTCATCACCAGATATGTGAAGTGTAAATTGACAGTAAAGTGCAAAAATAGGTGAGATTGTTCAAGAAAGCTCGAGAAAATGTCTGCGATGAATCTCACTGTCGTTAGTTATCTGCAAGCACTGAAGTTTATCGCAGGTAGTAGTGATTCAAATTCACGTAAGTCGACGATATGAGCAAATGACATGGGAAAAGCAAAACGACTGATGAAGTGAAAATAACCGTAACTATCATCGACTATCACCGACCGTGAAGTGTCATCGACAACTGCCTATCGTCACCGGTGCCAGAATTATGTGAGAGGGTATGCCAAAACCCACTGTTCGTTACGATAAATGTTTAAATCGATAAGAAAATTCTGTGAAAAAATAAAGAATTATATACAAATTTCAAAATGTAAATATTTTTAAATGCTTACTTGTTTTATCTTTATTGCAAAACTGGCATTTCTTAAAAAGTATCCCTCACATAATTCAATGTTACAAATTTTTGGCATTATCAATTAATGAACTATGAGTTACAGACTTCAATCAGCAATTCAAAACTTTAAAAAAATGGAAATACATTACACTAAGTTCTATTAAGTATACAGATTACTTTTTGCAATAAAGTATACAAATAGTTTAGTCATTTTCACTATATTCACTTATACTATAAAGTATTACAAAGTATATTATTAATAGCTTTTAATATTTGCATTCTATGATCATTTTGACTCAAAGTATATTATTAATAAGTTTTGACATTTACTGCCTATAATCACTTTTACTAAAAGGTGTTACAATATAAAGCATATTATTAATACTTTTTCACATTTACTTTTCGTGGATCGTAGAATTCCACAAAAATTATTTTCGTGGATTTCCTGAATTGACAAAATTTGGAAATTATTGGTCTTGTGGCTTATAGGTTATTAAAGTTATATACAAAGTCTCTACTTAAAACTACTTTGATATTTATTTATCGTTTTAGAGTCATTAGGTTATATCGATGCAGGAAGGGGAAGAATATGCAGTGACCTCTCTGGGATTCAAACTCCGAGAAGAAAAATATCATAAAATCCTGGTAGTGATGAATTATCGTCCACCATCTTTTAGTTCAGGAGCCACTTCTAAAGACTTAGAATATTTGGATGTCAAGAAACTGTTCCACCTTATAATAGCTTAGGTATTTTATAACATTAACCTGTGTCTCATACTGTGTATTTCTTTTTTCAGAAATTCAAGAATTAAAACATCTTGCAACAGACAATCTGGAGACTTCAGAGTCACAAATATCATTTTAATATATGATTTTCTGTTGCTATTGTCAATAAATCACTGTAAATCATCTCTCTAGGAACTTCTTTCCAGTTTCCATCACATAATAATTATTTGAATTATCTATTAGACAGCGATGACACCCTCAAATTATCTCTCTTAATTCAATTCATAAATACCGAGGTAAATCTTCAAGACGAAAGAGCTGATATAAAAACGTTAACGACTATTTATTTTAAATGCCATTCCAATCAGAATCCCAAATCAAATTTTTTTACTTAATAAAAATCTGTTAACAAAACACGACTTTATATATTTTACTATATCTCATCTCGTGCTGCCATCTACAATCACAGATATGAGTAAAACAATTAAAGTAACTACTCATATCATAGGAAACTTGGAGACCTATGACACGGAAAGAACTGAACCACAGATTAACCAACTTGACAGAAGCAAACTCATACAGTAGTACTTCGAAGGCTAAAGGTTACGGAAGAATTAATGATAGGGTGAATAATCTACTATCAAGAGAGTTTCCCTTCTATTTATGACATTTCATTGGATATTCTGGGTTATCACTTCTTACTCAATACTGGCAAAACGTGTTCAGCGGCCTTCACTTTTCCTTGGACATTCGAAGAAACGGTTTCACGCTGAAAGCTCATTTCTATGCAAGAAGGTTTCATGATGATTAATCAAGTAAGTGGCTTTACATATCTGTATTATTCCTTTATAATTTAGTTATTATTATATTTATATGTTTAAAATCACTTTTTTTCCCTCTCTCTTCAGTTAAAATTTAAATTTTAGAAATTCTTTTCTCTTTACAAAGCGTTTCGAAATGTACAAAAGTACTTAATGAACATACGGATAAATACACGATGAACACATAAAGAACAGATTTTTTTACGCTCTCGGAATATAGGATTTTTCAAAATGATTGGCCTAATTTCGAATGGCTTTATTCTTTTTTATTTAATGAATACAAAATGACAAATAGCGCGCGAAGTGAAAGTAATACTTTCCAAGTTTTATTAACAGGTGTTCTGTCTAGTTTTGTTTTGTATCGCATGAAAATTGATGGAATGGTCATTCATTTTTCACTTTACTTGTTTCAACTTATTTTTTGTTGCTGTGCTTCCGGTAGTAAGAATGTGTTTATTTACTTCCTGTAGATTTCTGAGCAAAATTTGCAAGAATTCATTAAACGTCTTACTTACTAAAGAAAAAGCTGAGCTAAGCAAACTCTCTAATTTATTAAATAAGGATTTCATAGATATTCTAACTTATGATTCTTTAATAAAATTGTTCTGTACTCAAACGCCTTAACTGTATTAAATGCACAACATATCAATTCTAAAATTTGAAGATTTCTTTTTTTTTTTTTAATTTGATCTATAATAATCCCTCGAATTACGTAAGCAATGCTTTCCGTAAATATATGCATAAATTTTTATTTAAATTGAATCTGTAAATTTCTGAAGTATAATTTCTCTGGAAAGTTCAATATTTATAATTTTTATTATTATACGTATGCATGCGTAGTATTTATTTAGTTATACGTATGTATGCCTAGTATTATTATTATCTCATAAACGAAACATAATTTAGTTTTGCATTTCGAATCCATTTTAAAGTAGACATAAGCATCGGAAACACATAATGCGCTGAAATGTAGGTAGCTATAATTCTCCTGCACTGCTATCTATAAAATACAGTATGGTCTATACCTCTAAATTTTTTATTTTATGTTTCATATGATTATTTCCTCAAAAGATGAATAAACAATGAACAGCAATGGTGATAAACAAGTGATTAAACCACATACGACTTACCTAAACTATCCACGCGAAGCTTAAGTAAAAGAATATTTCTAATTGCGCTTTGAATGTCACGGGATCTATGCACTTGCGTAACTGTGAATTTACGTAAGTCGCGGATTACGCAAGTCGAAGGATTACTGTATATCAAATTAACGCATTGCTAATAGGAACCAGAACAGCGATCATCTGCATCTCGTGCCAGTCATTTTGAATATTCTTGTACGTATTTCAATCAATGGTAAGTGTACGTGTTGCAAGACTGTGATATATCTTCCATACATACGCGTAACAAAGTTCCTTTTGCACGTTTAACATTATGCTCTGAATTGGGATATTACTCTGAATAAGTTTAAGCTTATAAGGTATTTCTCTGGCATTATGAACGTGCGTTCTTGGTGTAGTGGTCAGCACGTTCGACGCATATGCGAGAGGTCCGTGGTTCGAGTCCCGGTGGCATATTTCACAAGTGCACATCAGCGTAGCCACTGAGGGAGGGGTTTCGAAAATGGACCTATGAACTTCTAGTGCTCTTGTGACGCTAAATCTTCGTGTGCAAGTGAGCGTATGCTGTTTACGTTTTAAGTTACATTTGTTTCGTAGTTATAAATGTATGGCGTAAAAGTAGAAAATCGCGTAGTGCTTTCGTTTTATGAGTTTAATTAATCGCTGACATTTCACTTTCGTGATTTTTATCACGCTTTGATATTTGGATTGATATTCACGGCACATTATCGCTCTTTACACCGAGAAAATGACTCAAACTACAATAAGCTTCAAATATTATGCGTTTACTAACAAATGTGGATTAAGAGAATTTATGTACATAGTTTTTATTATTATTTTATTATTGAGCTGAGAAGGACTGGAAGTGCTACAATGAATCTAATGTTTTCTTATTTCAGTGCTTGCATTCATTTGATTTTGAAAGTGCTTGATTTCATTTGATTCAGAATACATATTGTGTATGATCTGATTATATCCATTGTTAACATTAAAAGTTATATGTGAATAAATTGAATATATTCGTTGTGAATAGATAAATTTATTCTGTTTGATGAGTATTTCTTTTGTAGACAGTATATTTATGAGTGAACAGTTATTAAATGTGAAATTTAACACACTAAATGCAAATTAGTGAATTACAAATGCAAATTAGTGAAGTTTATTTTGAATAAAATTCTGCGTTGGCTATTATTGTAACATCTTTTTCACATAGACTGAAAATGCTGACTTCTATTTACATGTATAACTGGTGTCAATAGTTTTCGCATATGCATAGTTTTATGTAGAGATAGCATTTGGGCTCAGATGTGCATCACATATTTCTTTCGTCTTATTTATCACTTATTAAGTAATATTTCGCATGAATATTTTTGCGGAGTATCCAACATGTGTTTGTATTTATTTCAAATTATTTCAACCAGGTTAGTGAAATCTTCATAATTGCTTATATTTGATCTAACTTCGCAATGAAAATTTTCAGAAGAAGTAGACGATGTACAGAAATTTGTACAGAAAATTGCGTGACAAAATATTTTCAACCATCTAGTTTAAATCTTAAAGCGTGCAAAAGGTAAAGGTAACATGACAAAGCGTGCAAAGGTAACATGACAGAAATATTGCTGTATGCTCATTGGTCCATCCTAGAAGCCACTCCCTCGGTGGCTACAGAGATGTGCACTTGTGAAATATGCATCCCGGCGAGGGCATTTCTCATTTTTTCATCTATCCCGTTTTAAAAAAATACCTAATGTCTCTACAGTGGCGCCTGAACTAAAAGAGCTGGTGGATGATGATTTCTCAACACCGGGATTTGACAACGGGGTTCCTAATCCCTAGTCGCCCTTTAAAAGGGGGAGTATATAAGATATTTCTCCCGCCTTAGCATGCCTTCGTGGTGTAGTGGTCAGCACGCTCGACGCGTATTCGAAAGGTCCGTGGTTTGAGTCCTGGAGAGGGCATTGCTCATTTATCCTCTCTCTTGCTTCGAAAAAAATCTAATGTCTCTACAAGCTAACCTTTAGAAGAGGAGTCATAATAAGTAAGGGAAAAGCTGCGCCCATTCCTGGATTAAAACACGAATCAAATATAAAATCTGAAGATGTGATATGGATTGAAAGGCAATAGAAATAAGAAATTCTTAGGTGGAACAAATACAAACAAGTAACTGCCGATGAAAGACAAAAGATTTTATAGTTAAGATACAATAATACAAAGGCATACATGAATTCAGGCATACAAGGAAGAAAAAATGAAAAAAAAAATCGAAATATAAACAAAATATATGTATAAAATGTGTACAGTAAAATGAAGTAGGAGACCCGAGATATATAGTGTTAAAGATTAACTGATTAAATTTTGTAAGAATTATTTAACCTGTTATTAGTAAGTAAATTCTTTTCTGCGCTTTCATTTTTTCTGTCGTCTTTCGCCAGATGCAAATTATATGAAGAGATTTTTTTAATTTTGTATAACAACATGAACTAAACAGCTTTCTGTGGGATGATATGCGCGTTACCATCTGTCATCATCACTATCATCGTTGAATTTTATATGTTGCTCTTATACCGTATAACTTGTTCGATAGTAAGTAAAGAGTTTTTAAAGTGTGGCATTTTCCCCTTTTTATTTATTGAAACAACTAACCTAAAAAAAGGCATTTCTATGTTTAACAAAAAATCACCACATTTGAAATGAAATAATGACGTAACTGCATTTACTCGCTGGAAATATCAAGATGGCTTGCATATCTTTCTAGAGAAAACTAACCTAAAAAAAGGCAACTAATCTAAAACAAACAAACAACTAACCTAAAAAAAGGCATTTCTACGTTTTACAAAAAATCACCACATTTGAAATGAAGTAATGACGTAACTGCATTTTCTCGCTGGAAATATCAAGATGGCTTGCATATCTTTCTAGAGAAAACTCTCTGGCACGTATAGGGCAGCACGTACCAAATTCTTTATGTTACAGGATAGTAATAGAAAAATTACAGGTTAAATTATAATGTATTTCTGCCGCCTTCTTGGCATGCCTTCGTGGTGAGGTGGTCTGAACGCTGGGCGCGTATTCCAGAGGTTCGTGGCTCGATTCCCGGCGAAGGCGTTGCTCATTTTTCCGCTTTTACGCTTCCAAAAAATCCTACAAAGTTTAAGTAATGGGTGTAATCAGTACTTGCTTGTGAGGATTCGCAGTGCTGTTGATCCCTTTATTCTACAAGTTAGCATTTTTTGAACCATGTATCTTCTCAGTACTGCTCTGGAGAACTCATATAATACAAACATGCAATAATATGCGAGGACTGTAATTCATTTGAGACGGAAACTATTCATTTTTACCAGTAATCGAGTGGATAAAACCGTTGAATGCTGATTATCCATCCCTAGTTTGAATTCCTAAGAATGGGCTGGATGAATGGTCGTTTTCGTGGTTATTACTGCGTGTAATGTAAATACTAGCCACTTTCCCTTAGAACATATTTCACTAAGGCCTCCCATCTCTTAACCAGATTGCCTCCATGTGCTTTGCAGTATTCACTCATATTAATTAAGCCAAACTTTCTAATCTTTGGCGAGCTTTTAGAATTATTTAGCAGTTATAATTAAATGTAAAAAACATTTACTAAGGGGAAAAGTATATAACAAGGAAGTTTTGATTTATTAATGGCACCAAAATTGGAAAAAGATGGTTAAGGTTCTTATGGCTTTAGAAACGAATGTTATAATCAAGTAAATGTTTTCGGGAGGGATTAAAATACGTATCATAACCATCTAAAATTCTATTGTGTTTCTTTGGGAATATAGTTATGTTTTTTCGCTCTAATTTAATACAGACTGCAACAGTTTATTCAGGTATAAAATATCCTTCCACCACTTTCTTTGTTCTTTTCTATGAGTATCATAGACCATACATAATATCCACTATTTTAAAATCTCATAGTCACCAACTCCAGCTTCCGATGAATTGCCGCGATTGCATGACGTGTTCCGGCTGGCTTGAAATGGTATTCCACTGCGGACCTTGAGGTAAACTAATATATATGCTGAGCTCAAGGCAAACAGTCGAATGTATAGAAGGAAAGTGACTATTGGTCCCGAGAACAAGTGGAGACATCTGATGGGCTGAGTCCTTATCTATTAAATAAAATAAAAGGCTCAAAATTTTAACTTTGTGTTAGAAGATCTTTATTCCATCCGGCAAAAAAAATACGGAATATATTTTGATGAAGTATACCTCGGAGCTAGTGATATTGACAAATGACGGCACTGAATACGAGAAGGGTTACTGGTTCTGCATACTAGCTTATTTCTACGGTTTAGAAATTGATTTCAAATGATATATCCTACAAAATATGAACTCGCTACACCAACCTGAGCTAACTACAATCCATTATGATCATGAATACATTTCTCATCATATTACTGTTAAATATAGAACAAATATGTATACGGAAGAATTACTAGCCCTGCTGGCACTCTTCTACCCAAATAATCAAAAGAGATCATTTTTACGTTCGACAAAAAAATAAAATGTTTAAGTAACACATGTAATTTAGCGTTACTTTGAGTCATAGCTCATTGGCAGTAAGAAGACTGATAAGAGGCCAAAAAGAATGCATTGGAGATGAATAACTGGTTATTTATGTTCAAGGTTCAAAAAGAAAAACTTTAATGTGTATGAAAAAAAAAGTTATTGAAGAATGAATTCAAAGCCTGGAGGCGTTCGAGAAAAATATAGATTACTTGAAACTGGTACTAACCTAAAAGTATGTGAAAATATGTACTGATATTGATATCAACCAAATTATTTTGGGCCATGGGATATTATATGAATGCTGTAATTGTAATGTATGTCACTTGTTTGACAGTAATATCAGTTCAAGTCCACGAGTATTTTTCATGAGGACGAGTGTAGAATTACATGTATTGTTGCCATGGGCTTTAGGCACTTTATAAGTGATAAAACGATTTTGCCCGGTGCCGTCTCATTATGTAAGGAAACGCAGTTGTTTAAATAGATTTCTCCTCCAAGCTCTAATATATGTAGGTACTATAAAAGCACTAAATACGACAAGCACTTCTTTGAGATGCAACGGATATGTGTTTCGATTTTAAGCACTTATTTTCTCACAGTAAATAATGAAAATTTATGACAATAAATAGGGATAGGAATAAATAAGAAATAGGGATTGAAATGTGAGAGAAATTTTTATTTTGTTTATTTAAACTAACACCATTTCTTTTTCAGCTTGAATTATTTTTAACATGTGCGTATGTGTTCAGGTCTAGTGGTTAAAGGGGTTATTCCACTAATTGCGTTTTTTCTTTTTTTAGGTATTTTTTCTAACCTGTTTTATTATGCGGTTCCTTTGGCTTGGTTACCCTGATTTTGTTTTAATTTATTGAATTAATTTTCAATATTTTATTACTTTCCAAAATTGTGGTTTCAGGATTAGTAAGCATGTCCAGATCGTTGGCTGATTTCCTTTGTTGACGTTCAAAACTTGACTCATTGTGGCCAATTTGATTTTGAAAATTTGACTTTTAAACGTTGAAGATAGAAGAGAAACTCGTCAAAGTAAAACAAAAAATTAGTAAAGCAACAACTTTATGTTTCAAGTAGATTTTAGTCAAGACTCTACTGATTACTAGAGTAAATATTTCCTCGCCTATCAGTAAAATTAGTGGTTCGATTCTTAACGATTCCTGTTTCTGACTTTAATTCTTGAGGAATTTATTCCATATCCTGTCACTGTTGTTTGAGTTATATCGGCCAAACTAAAAGTGCGTTTAGTTTCGCATCATAGAATACAAATCGTATATCAAAAAGGCGAAATTAAAAAGCATTCGATAGGCAATCATAGTTGGAAATTCAAACATAATTTTCATTTTTGGTCTGCAAAAATTATCTCAAAAGCTGCAAAAAATTTTTGGAAAAAGAGGGTGAAAATTTACTTTGGTATGAAATATGAGAAAACGAAAAAGAAGAGCAAGATAAACAGGGAGTTGAGAGAGAAAACAACTAGCTTAGCTTAGGTAGCCACTCCATCATTCCATTTCCTTGGCTACCTGTAGATGTCGCACTCCAGCACAGAATATCTCTCTTGTTCAAAGGAAGCACAAAATGTATTTCTTGGATACGGGGAACAAACAAACTGTAATAATGAGTACATGAAACATAATTTTACTAAAGCTGAATCAATAAATATAGTCGGTTCTTGTTTCAAGTTATGGCGGATTAGATGGCTGCTTGTACAGGAATAAACTCAGCTTGAAAACAATTAGTTACTTTGGTTCTATCTGATAATTCAGCTGAACAAGATGTTTTTATGCTTGAAGATAGTAACCACAGTGTGTTAGTTACCTTCAGATTCTGTTTAAGTATCTATTTTGTTGGGATCATAAAGAGCATACCTTGTATGTGAAATCAAAATGCGCCGTATTACAGAATGGCGCAATGATTCATTGCGCATAATCTACAAAGACATATAATGATTCTAGAGGGCTGTTTTTAGAAACAGATTGGGTAATATTGTCTCTAACTTATTGACTAGAGCGTACCTTGTATATCAAATCAAAATGCGTAGTACTACAGGATGGCACAATGATTCATTGCTCATAATCTATAAAGACATATAATGATTCTAGAAGGCTTTTTTTAGAGCTAGATTGAGCAATATTTATAACTATTGTCTCTAACTTATTGACTAAATATAAGGGAGAAATATTAATTTGCGGGAAGATACATTATATTCATAACAAAAAATTTAAAAAAAGAATTCTTAAAGCTTCCTCGCGCAAGAATTTGGTTTTCTATGACATGAAATGTATCAGCATTCATGAATTCATAACTCCACCATGAAAAGTGACTGGATTAAAATATTTCTATAAATGTCATTGACGATTGAAAAAGCATTTATAAATAGAGTATGCGTTATTTGTATGTGAAGTATTTTATACATTACTTAAAATTTTTTATATTGAAATAACGCTGAACTGTGAATGCGTCTTCGTAACTTATCAATCACTGACAAATCTCATTCATTTATTTTTGCCTGTCTTAGATGATTGGAGCTCTTGCTGGGCTCGTTAGAATCTTCCTCACTGTGACTCGTCCTTTGTCAGATAAGGTCCTGGATGTTTTATATGCAATCTTCATGGGAAGCACTCCGCAGTTGCCTTCAATAAATAACAAAATTCTTCTCATGTCGGCCACAGAACTCGCTGAGAAGATTCGAAAGAGACAGGTAAATAACGCTTTTTACTAATACCTAGTATGTCATTATTTGCAGTGATGCTTAGAACACTTTCATTTCAAAGTTTAAGTTTATTTAAGTAGATACAATATTCCAAATGCAAACATTTATTAATCGTTGTTTGAAAAGTGATTCATTTTTAAGCTTTAAGCATCGAATTTTGAAAAAAAAATGCACTATTAGATATCTTTCAAACATTGTTAAAAATGTTCTTTGTTACTCACTATTATAATTATTGAACATTAATTAAGAAATTATTTATAATTATGATATATTATATAATGATTTATAAATTTATACGTAACGGTTCTTAAATTTTTACTTTAAGGTAAGCATTAAGGGAAAGCGAAAACTTTTACTAATCATAAAGCGTTAGTTTTATGTTAAAATGAAAAGCTGTAACTAAGATAATAAAATAAACTAAGATAATATAAAGACTGCGATCCTGAGAAGAGCGAGTCCGAATGAAGTTCGAGATCGAAGTAATGAATCTGTGTCTTAGTCCGACTCCTAACACCAAATATTTTTTTACGTTCTTTTCCTACTATAACCCAAATTTTAACTTCATTGATTTATTTGATAGCAAATTCTATCATGTAAGTAAAGTAAACTTAATATTTTCACATAGATTTTAAAACTTGGTATAAAAATATTTCAATTTTTAGATAAAAATACCCATTGGTAGAATTTTGGAACAAAAGGCAATTTTAAAGAGTGAAAATTACGTTATCTCAGTCCTTCAAGAAATTTGTAGTAAACAGTTTATAAGGTCATTTTCTCTCTCCTTTCTGCATGCCTTCATGGTGTAACGGTAGCATACTCGGAGCGTCATTCAGAGATCCAGGTTCGAGTCCCGGCGAGGGCATTGCTCGCTTTTCAGGTCTTCGTCTTCAAAAAATCCTGATGACTCTACAAGTTAATTAAAAACTATAATAAGGTCGATAAACTGCACTGTAGATTATATATATATATATTATATATATATTATAGGTTTATATACCTATATAAGGTCTATAACTGCGTTGTAGATTTTTAGAAGTTTGCTTAAGTAATCTTTTCGATCTTTTTGTGCGAGATTCAGTTCATATAATAATGTTTCATAAATCAAACATCTTTTGATTTTTCGTATAAATTTTACTATCACATCTGTTAAATTGAATAAATACGGATATCGCCGTATCGCTAAAAGTTCGAATGAGAACTTTATTTATTTAATGCTTCTTAAATTATTGTTAAATTTATTGCAAATACTTCAATTGAAATTGGGAAAACTTGCGCTAATACTTCTCTGCATTCAAGGTAAATAGTGAATTCGGTTCCGACGTCGCAGAAAATCCTTACTGCAACCCTCTGAAAATAATAAATCACTCCGGTTTGTTTTATTAAGTATGATTTGTCTTCAAATAATGCAATTATGGTATTCCAGCTGGTCAAAGGAGATACAGAAATCAAATAAATGACACAATTTCTGAAACGTAGATTATTAAAGGATTATTCCAACTAAAATTCCCTAAAGGAATAAACTGCTGTTACCTTTTCTCGAGACGGGGGTAATTTTATTTGTTAGAACAGAACGGAACGATGATAAGAAGAGGTGTACAGATTGATCCGGCACTGTGCAGCGTAAGATATTGAATATTTGCTTGAATCATGTTTGTTATTGTTTTCAATAAATAATCAAAAGGCACCTTTTGTAAAATGAATGACTTAATGCTTCAAAAACGAAGATACTACAAGGACATTCTACTGTGAAAAATTCTTTGTCTAGGATGAGTGATTTCAAAGTTCAGTAATTTTTATATCGGTGGTGAAATCCTGTGCCTTTGTTAACGATTCCGGTTGCAGCCTCGAAAGTCGCTCCAGTGGACAAGTCTTTTCATCAGGGTCAGGAGATGGACACTTTGTTAGGTATGAGTGAAAGAATCTCTCTCCCTGGGAATTCAGCTCAAGTAAACACAAGGAGATATACTATAAGGTGGTTGCCTGTTTAGAGCAATGGCCATGTTGGCCTGCTAAGAACGATCATTCCTCGTGTATAATGCGTTAGAGCATTTTTCCTGTAACAAAATTCTGAAATTACGGGACTAAATATATCCAAGTCCCATACTGTCAAGAATCGCAACTATTAATGTTTTTATGTTATTAAAATTCATGTTATTGTTAGAACTTGAGTTTGAAGTTCAATTCAACCCTGCATAACAACCCGGGGTTTGTGTAGCTGTTTCGGCCACTACACTACAGCACTGACATTCACACGCATCACAAACACATTCCACACGCATCAGAAATGATATATTTTTTCAGGTTTTTAATTGGCTGCTGCCTGTTTCTTCAAGTGTGCAAGGCGCTGCGAGGTCACAGTATAATAAATAACAAAATTTCTAATTTTCTCCCGGATACGTTCCTCTGAATCTCTAACACGAATGTATTGAGTTATGTTTGCTTACTACATTACTCGAAGTATATATAGTAGAAGATATAACTCTAATTTAACTTAGGCTCTTACCAGATGGAAGCGTGATTGAATTTCTCGACCCACTGAATTTCATTTATACTGTAGCGCAATAGTTTTTTCAGTTATATTTTCAAGGAGGTCTTTAGATTGTGGCCCACCAGCGGCCGAGCGGTAAAGTCGCTGAACACTGGTAGTTCGGTCCGAGGTTCGAATCCCGCGAACAGGCTGGCTGCGTGGGTGTTTTCGTGGTTTTCCCCCATGTGTAACGTGTATACGAGCCAGTTTCCCTTAGAAAGTCCTCCACGAAGGCATCTCTCCCCTTAGGCAGATAGCCCTAGTGTGCTTTGCCGTAATTAAGTACACACCTTTAGATTGTGAATAGGAAAAGGGATATCATTTGCATCTTTTGCTGAACATGCTTTTGCTTTGATTAAGAGGCCTGCAATCTTCCTTAGAATGCATGAAATACTTCTTTTCATCTTGAAAAGTACAAAAGTGTTCTTATCGTTTAACCTCTGTTGTTTCGCACTAATTTCTGAGGAACCTGAGAGGAGATGCTTTTAAGGTTTGAGAAGTTATTGGGGAAAGTGATTAAAGTTTAAGAAGGTAATTAGTAACATTAGGTTCTTAAGTTGTCGTTCTTCTGTCAATTATTAAATTGAACGGTTTTCTAGAGAAGTTCAATTTTAAAGTAATTTTCTCCCCTACCAATAAAATACATGGTTGGATTCTTAAAAATTCCATTTCTGACTTTAATTCTTATGTCCGAAAAGGCCAAATGATTAAGTCTTCTATAGCTAATCATAATTGGAAATTTAATCATAATTTTGGCTTTGGATCTGCAAAAATTATTCAAAAATCTTCTTCGATTGATGAATTGGATTTTCTTGAAACTTTCCATATTCACAAAGAGTTAGGATGTTTAGTTAGTGATTTTACACTTTTAAAAATTTATTAACTTAATTTCTCGATTTCTTTACTATTTTTGCCACAAAGGGCGCAACCTTCTCGTTCGCTTTACTGCCGTAGGATATAAATACGACAGTTCAGTCTGCTGCTTTCCAGTCTTGCAAATTTCTTTCTCCTGATGTAGAGGGACCTGTACTTGTTCGCCCTCGAAATCGATTGAATTCTTAACTAAATCTACGCCAAACATAAGATTGTTGTTTTGCTAATTTTATGTTTAAAAAGCTGTTAATTGCTCAAATTTCCTACAGAAGTAGTTTCCCACTTTACTTCTGCTCAAACAGCTAACAGTTTTATTTAATAGATTGACTATTAACTGCGTATTTCCGCAATCTACATTGCACCCAAGCTCGCAATTCGCGAAAGAGCTACAGATTCTTAATCCCATTACAAAAAGTTAATAGGGTGCCTAATTATTTGCTGCACTTCCAAGATATATTCGTAAATTTTTCTGTGGAAGTTAGATATATGGGTAGTTTTCTTAACTGTTTAAATGTGTATTGTATCCTGCGGTTGAGCTTTGCTATCTTTGTAAAGTTGCTTCCTTTCTTCAGAAATTGCTAAGTCCAAAACTAAATCATTACGAGAGAGGAAGAAAGTTTCCAACCTTTTACATTTCAGCTGCCTAATACAACTTGATGCTTAATATATGTTATCATTTTGAAAGCAAGGATTGCTACATAATTTTATGTCAAATCTCAAATATCTCAAATGTAAGGACATGTAATTTCCGTCAAGGATTGTCTCTCATATTTTGCTTTGTGTTGAGTAGTTTAAACAGTGATAAAACATGGTAATTTTTTATATTTTTTAAATGCCATCGCTTTTTTTTCTTCCTATCTGATAAAGCTTTGTTTATTCTTATAATAGGACTTTTCTTGAAAGTATTTGATACTTTATATTCATGTTAGTCGTACTGAAATGATAAACATAGATTCCAGGTTACGGCTGAACTCTGTGCGAAGCCTGTAGATTGGCTTCAATAATGGCCAACCGCAATGTAGTTCTTCCTTTTTCTGAGAATAAACTCACGAATTCTTCAGAGGCTTCAAATTACTTTATCGTGACACATACATTAAGTCACCACATTGCATAAAAAGCTGTATTATTATCAGAGGGAGAATATTTGTCTACATTTGTTTTTCTTTTCTTTTATGTGCGTTTAATGAGCCTACCTTTCAAAAAACAAAATAAGCTTCAAATATTTCTTTCACACACATAAAGGTATTAGAGCAGCTTATGAGATTGAGTTTCCTTAAGATTTTTCAGAATGATAAAATTCACCGTTACTGAATTTAAATGTAGCCAATTCATAGTAATTTCAATCGAATGAGTTTATGTAGAATAATGCTAAAAAAAGGAAATTCGAAAAATTATATTATCATAATTGTTGTTCCAGTTTACATAAAATGTCGAGCAAATTCCGAAGTTACAAATTCATTGTCAAGACCACATAATTATTCTTAACTTGTAAGTTAAATTAGCAATTTAGGGGTAGAGTTGACTTTAAGGTACCCCTTGTATTATCCTTGTTGTTTCATTTATCCCTAAGTTGTTGTTTCGTTTTTCGCCAAGTTGTATCATTTATGGTAACCTGAGTAGTTGAACGTTATGGAAACCCTATTATGACGTAATCGTTTGCATTATTGAGGGAAATTTTGAATCATGGGATGTTTTGCAAAGAATTTTGTAGTGTGTGTTGCTTAGGAAGTACATTGCTTGTTTCATTGTTTAGACGGTACAATGGATGAATGTGGTAGAATTATTTTATTGTTTGGTTTAAAATGTAGCTTATTGAGATTGTGTATTTTTTGTTTGCCTCTACTGTAGAATTGGGTTCTCCTTAGACTTTTTAAGTGCAAATATATCGATGTGTACATGGACAAACTCAAGAGAGTGCGTAAAGCATAGTTTGTGCAATTCGGGGATTTTTTTTAAGTGAAAATAGGTCGATGTGTACATGGATAAAGTCAAGGGAGTGCACCATGTTATTTTTGTGCAATTCGGAGATTTTGTTTTAAGTGGAAATAGGTCGATAAGTATATGGATACCGAGTTTGTGCAATACTTGTTATTTTGGCTTGCGTAGCGGCAATTTTTTCGCCAAAAATTGCCGCTACACAGGCCAAAATAACAAGTCAAAGCATTGCACAAACTCGGTATCTATGTACCGCCAAAAATCGCCAAGTTTCGTCTAGGGGTACCCTAAAATATACTTTTACCCAATTTAGTTATATTTATATTGTAAATTTGATATTTATATTTGACTACTATTTTATTCTAGTTAACCTGCGAGGAAGTTATCAAAGCGTATATAATGCGCATCAAAGAAGTTCAACCAATTATCAATGCCATCGTGGATGAGAGGTTCGTGGAAGCTATTCATGATGCCATTGCTGTAGATCGTCTTCTGGCAAGCGGTAAAAAATCTGAGAAAGATATCGCTCAAGATACTCCCTTGTTGGGTGTGCCTTTCACTTCCAAAGATTTGATTGGAATAAAGGGTGAGGAAAAATATCCTTTGTGTTTTTTAAAATGTATTACCATGACTGGCTTGAAAATATAGATGAATTGAACGTTTTTTTTTATAAAAGTATTAAATATTATTATTTGTACCTCTGCAAAAACAAAATGCTGTTGGTGTGTTAGAAAGCAAGATAATAAGAACTCTTATTTTATGTTTTGAGAAGAATATATAAAGTTAAGTGACGCAAGAATTTCAAGCGGTTGTTGTTGATTAAAACAAACAAATTTTCTCCGGTCTAATTAAACTCACGTTACTTAGAGACCTATAGACATTGATCTAACCAACTCACTAGATATCCATGCTATTCAGATCATGAGGAAAACATATCCGAAGAATAAACAAACAGCCAGCGAAAAATTCAGCGATTCTAGTATTCAAATTATGCCAAACTGCCAATTTTTATAAAAATCGCACGAGTAGTTTTTAAAAAATTAGCTGTCAGAATTTTAGCTCCTCAATGTTAATTGAATTTGATATATATTTATTACTATCTCATTTTTTATTAAACTTATTTGATTCTTCCTTTCATATTTCGAAATTTAGATTCATTCCAAATAAAATTCGCACATTTTTTATGATTTATTTTTAAAATTCGTATTTTTATAAATTTTTCGAAAAAACATTTTGAATTATAACCTATAAAAGTGTTGCTATCAGCTTAAAATAGATGTATTTCTAAGCATACCTGCAAAAAAATTAGAGTTTTTTATTCAAAATTTCCTAAGATAGAGTGAATCTACATTTCGGCGCGTTTTGAAATTTGGCGTGTTTCTTATAAGCGATAATAAAGAAAATGAGGTTAATGCACTTTGTTAAAATTATTTGAAAGTATGAAAGATGACTTTTTTCCGCTCGTGGACAATTAAAAAAAGGAAAGGAAAAATAGGTTGCTCTAAATTAAGAAGTTCGCCAAATGAATTATTCTTGGCTCAAACTGAAAAAAAGGTGCCAAGATAAATTTTCAAATTTCTCCGTAAATTTCTCGCCAAAAATTACAAAATTTAATATCTAGGCATAATTTGAGTCGTATGAACGATGACTTTTTTCCGCTCGTGGACAATTAAAAAAAGGAAAGGAAAAATAGGTTGCTCTAAATTAAGAAGTTCGCCAAATGAATTATTCTTGGCTCAAACTGAAAAAAAGGTGCCAAGATAAATTTTCAAATTTCTCCGTAAATTTCTCGCCAAAAATTACAAAATTTAATATCTGCGCATAATTTGAGTCGTAGAATCGAAATATGGAAAAAAAATTGCATCTTATTTCAGAAAAAGTCTGATTTTGTGTCAAAATACCTATGTTAGAGCAATTTTATATAAAAATCTGATATATAGCCTAAGTTGCGCTTGAAAGACATGGAAAACGCTATTTGAATTACGTCAATCGGCCCAGTAGAACGGGAGATGTAGAACTGTCCTACCCCCCCCCCGCCCGCAGTGTACATGTGTAACTCGCATTACTCAAAAACTATTAGCTACGGAATGTTTAAATTCTGTACATGAAACTGCTGTGACATCTAGTTGTGCACCTTATTTTTTATTGTACTAGGCTGCGCATCGGTGGTTTTGAGATTCAGTGGTAATCAAGTTTGTCGAAAGTGTGGTGGTTCAGCAAAACATTATATCTCATATCAATAAATCAAATTCAATAATCACCAATCATTAAAATATAAATTGATTTAATTAAATATAATAATATCTCAATCTCAGAATCTCACATCATCACTGCGTCACACCTTCCATCGAGACTCAGCACACACTCAATGGCGCTCTCAGCGCCCTCTAGCGTTAGGCGGGTCTTACCATTCTCCCCGCTTAAACTCCCATGGAGTTTACATTTCAATTTCCAGATATTCAAATAAATTTAAAGTCACTAAAATTACACTAAACTAAATATTAAATTGGTAAACTATTAAATATAAAATAAAGGGTTTTCAAGTTCATTCAGTCTTTAAATGGTAGAAGAATAATTTTGTTGATGGCTTGCCGAAGTACACCTGTAGAGGTTTTAACTTCAACTACTCTGACCAGACCATCAGCACCAGGATACACTTGGTGGATGCGACCTAGTGGCCAATGCAAAGGATTGGAGTTGGAGTCCTTCAGCAGTACTAGTTGACCAATCTGCATGTTTGGCTGAGAACTGCTCCATTTGGCACGATTCTGTAGTTGATTTAGATACTCGGAATGCCACCTCTTCCAGAATTTAGCTTGAAGTTTCTGAACTAGTTTCCACCTGGAACGAAAAGAAAGAGAATCCGAAGCAGAATGTGGTTCAGGAAAGGATAACATAGCATTTCCTGTTAAAAAATGTCCCGGAGTTAAAGGCTGTAAGTCATTCGGATTGGAAGAAAGTGCAGTGATAATGGACAGGAATTCAGAACTGCTTCTATCTGAGTAACTAAAGTAGTTAATCCTTCAAAATTCATGATAGCTGATTTTGCTACCCTTAACAAAATCCGTTTCACTGATTTTATGTTTGTTTCCCACAGTCCACCAAAGTAAGGAGAAGCTGGTGGGATAAATTTCCATGGGATGCCTTCTTCTGCACTAAATCCTTGAATTGGGTTAAGATTTGCAAATATCATTATATGTGTTAAGAATATTTCTCGCACCTTTGAAATGCTTGGCGTTATCGCTCCAGATAACGGCTGGTTTGGATCTTCTGGCAATAAATCGTCGTAAACAGGCTAGAAAATCTTCTGTTGTTAACTCAGAAATGACTTCTAAATGCACTGCTTTAGTGCAAAAACAGATAAATAATGCAATATAAGATTTTAAAGTCACCTTTGACCTTTTCAAATTAGGTTTTGTGATTATAGGTCCTGCGAAATCTAATCCGACCTTCTCGAAAGGTCTAGAAGGCACGACTCTGTCCCTAGGTAGATTATCCATCATCTGGCTTACCGTTTGATTCTTCGTTCTAAAGCAAGTGATGCACTTATTTATTACTCTTCTAACTCGATCTTGACCAGACGGTATCCAATATGATTGTCTTATTAAAGATAATGTAGTCTGTACGCCAGAATGTAAGGATTTCCTATGATAATATTCAATAACTAAATTAGTGAAATGGTGAGACTTTGGCAAGAGTATCTGATGTTTCTGAAATTCAGAAATCTCGGAATACTCCAGTCTTCCTCCTACTCTCAGTACCTCATTTTTGTCAAGAAATACTTTCAGAGATGATATTTTACTATTTTTTGGAATAGATTGTCCGTTTTTCAAGCACTTTATTTCCCTTTGAAATTCAGTTGACTGTACGAGTTTTACTAAAACTTCAGTAGCATGTCTTAACTCAGAAGCACATATGAAGTCTGTTCTCAACTCTGGTTTTGCTTTACAGTTATTTATAAATCTCAAACATAAAGCAGTTATCCTAATTAATTTACTGAATGAGGAATATCTTGTGATAAAATCGTTTTCATTTTGATTGTTTTCAACAGCTGCATTTACAACTGACTTCTTAAACTCTAACTTATCGACATCTACTTCGCTTTCTTCCATTGGTTCTAAGGAGGATGGCCATGCTGTATTATTCATTGTTAACCAACAGGGTCATGTCACCAGAGCTGATTATTCTTGAGCTCGCTTAAGGATAAACCCCTGGAAATCAAATCGGCGGGATTATTCTTTCCTATACAATGATGCTATTCTTCTGGATTGCTGTATTTTTGTATTTCTTTTATTTATTCTTCACGAACACCTTATGTCTATTTGAAGATCACCCAGTGGAATTAGGAAGCCTATTGAGAAAAAAATATCGAGTAACTGGAAAAGTTAGTGCAGTTACAATGTATTGCTCAATCGTGAAGACAAAAGTGCCCCATGAGTTCCAATCTAGGAATCGAAAGGGTTTTTTAACGGAGCTACCCTGCTCTTTGATGCTACAAACCTAGAAATGATATTTCCACTCTTTAATTCTATGCGTAAGTACGCAACAGTACCATCAGCTTTCTTAGATGCATCTGAAAAACAGTGTAATTAAATAGTGATTGCATGACTGGGCAAAGAATTTTGAAAATAATATCGGGGAATAATTATTTCCTTTACATCTTGGATCTCATCGCACCATTTATTCCAAGTAATTTCTAACTGTTTGCGCAATTTTTCATCTCAGTCTAATCCTAAACACCAAATTTCTTGTATCAAGTACTTAACTTTAATAGTATACGGTCCTATAAAATCTACTGAATCGAAAAGTCGACCTACTGCTTGTAGTAAGTGTCTTTTTGTGTTAGTTCTTTTTAAAAGAAATGTTTCCAGATTTCTGGTATCGAAATAAAACGTGTCAGTTTGTTCATCCCAACCAATTCCCAATACTTTTGAAGCTATCAATTTTGTATCTAAAGACTCTTCACCCTGATCTTCTACTTTCTAGTTTAAATTCTTTAATTCTTTACTTAGCTCAGGAGAATTCGGTTCTCTCCAACTTTCGAAGGTGCATGCTTGCCTGCTTTTAGAATGTCTACAATTTCTTTACAAGTCTTTAGAGCTTGTTGAACAGTGATTTGCCCACAAATAAAATCGTCGACGTACAATGACTCATTAAGATGCTTAGAAGTCAAAGGAAATATATCTCGTACCTTTTCAAGTGATGTTTGATTGTGGTTGCAAGGAGAAACGGGCTAGATCTCACCCCTAATAACACCCTTGTCATCCGAAAAATTTCCAATTTCTTGTTTTCGTCATCAGTTACTGGATCTTCTGCCCAGAAGAATCTGGTGTAGTTACGTTCATTTTCATCTATTTCAATCTGGAGAAAAGCCATCTTAATATCTGCAACAAATGCTATCGGATTCGTTCTAAATCTGATCAAAAGAAGAAATAGGGTAGGCATAAAATTAAGTCCTGTGTATAAGCTATAGTTCAAAGATAATTGACCTTTTGCATGCGCCGAAGCATCAAACACAATGCGTAATTTGCTTGTAGTCTTATCCGTACGTATTACAGCTCGATGAGGTATATAAAATGTATTTTG